ATATATATATATATATATATATATATATATATATATATATATATATATATATATATATATATATATATATATATATATATATATATATATATATATATATATATATATATATATATATATACCTTTTTTTTTCTAAAATACTTTTTCAAAACATTAACTTATGTTATGTTGTAAAATTACTATGAAAGCTTTTAATTTGTATATTGGGGGATTTTCATTGATTAATTTTATTTTCAGCTTAGTCCCTTTATTAATCAGGGGATTAATCGACATATGTTCTACACAGCAGATGCCGCAACCCATCACTGGGAAACATCTATGCACACTTATTCACACACATACACTACAGCCAATTTAGCCTACCTAATTCACCTATAGTGCATGTCTTTGGACTTGTGGGGAAACAAAAGCACCCAGAGGAAACCCAAGCCAACAGAGGGACAACATACAACCTCCGCACAGAAATACCAACTGACCCAGCCGAGGCTCGAACCAGCGACCTTCTGGCTGTGCGGCGACAATGCTACTCAATGGGCCAGCGTCACGCCGTTAGGGATTTTTTTTTATTATATATAAAAGTATTTCAAAATATATTTCAAGGAAAATACATTAACAGCTGACAGACGATTATCAGGTCTAAAACTGTAACAGACAAAAGTTACAGCTATATTTGTACAGCTGTACATGTACACTCACCGGCCACTTTATTAGGTACACCTTACTAGTACCATGTTGGACTCTCTTTTGCCTTCAGAACATCCTTAATCCTTCGTGGCATAGATTCAAGAAGGTAATGAAAATATTCCTCAGAGATTTTGCTCCATATTGACATGATAGCATCATGCGGTTGCTGCAGATTTGTCGGCTGCAAATCTATGATGTGAATCTCCGGTTCCACCACATCCTAAAGGTGCTCTATTGGATTGACATCTGGTGATTGTGAAGGCCAATTGAGTACAGTGAACTCTTTGTCATGTTTAAGAAACCAGTCTGAGATGATTCACACTTTATGACATGCCACGTTATCCTGCTGGAAGTAGTCATCAGAAGAGGGGTACGCTGTGTTCATAAAGGTATGGACATGGTCAGCAACAATACTCAGGTAGGCTGTGGCGTTGACATGTTGCTCAATTGGTACTAACGGCCCAAAATATGCCAAGAAAATATCCCCCACACCATTACACCACCACCACCAGCCTAAACTGTTGATTCAAGGCAGGATGGATTCATGCTTTCATGGTGTTGATGCCAAAATCTGACCCTACCATCCCAATGTTGCAGCAAAAATTGAGACTCATCAGACCAGGCAACGTTTTTCCAGTCTTCTATTGTCCAGTTTTGGTGTGTGAATTGTAGCCTCAGTTTCTTGTTCTCAGCTGACAGGAGTGGCACCGCTGTGGTCTTCTGCTGCTGTAGCTCATCCACCTCAAGGTAGGACGTGTTCTGATGCTCGGTTTAAACTGCAGCAGATCGTCTTAACCATGTCTACATGCCTAAATGCATTGAGTTGCTGCCATGCGATTGGCTGATTAGAAATTTGCGTTAAAAAGCAGTTGGACTGGTGTACCTAATAAAGTGGCCGGTGTGTGTACATTTTATACAATGGCATGTAATATATTTCTGTAAACCGAAACTACTTAAGAATGCAATTCCTCTAATTATTTTCTAATCTAAAATATATGATAGATACCTTAGATATATTTTAGATTAATTTTATGATAGGTACACTGAAATATATTTTAATATATGATGATTATATGATTTTATTATATATATATATTATGTGTATGTGTAAAGTTGAGCCTCACAGTTAAAATATATTTCCATATATATATATATATATATATATATATATATATATATATATATATATATATATATATATATATATATATATATATATATATATATATATATATATATATATATATATATATATATATATATATATATATATATATATAT